GTTCCTCCAGGGCGAGACTTGCTCATTGCACATAGAGTGAGTTGACCCCTGCGAGTATCCCTAATGTGGATACCTCGGACGCATAATTTTTGGTAGCTGGGACTGCGTACGCGCCGTCCCTTATATTTATAATGTTATTGTAATTTTCGAAATAGATGTGTTCATTAATATACATTTCATTTGTTACTTATATAAATGTTCTAATTAGTATGCACCTTTAAAGTCAAACAATGTGCATTGAAGAATTGTGTTCTAGTGGGTAAATTAATAATACAAAAAGAAGTTTACATAAATTAAAAATAAGTAAATGACAGTATACTTTTGCTTACATATTTGGCATAATAGTACCTTTAATTTAATTATAAAAAAAAAGCCAGCACAGTGGGAGACGTTATACATAATATTTAACAATGATTTAAATCATAAATCGCGCTATCATTTTAAGTTGAAACCACTTTAAAATTTAATTTTAACTTATATTGTCATCATACTCTTTACACAAATAATAAGATTACCGTAATATTCATGTTTTAGTAGCCGTTACTTACAAATAGGATAATAATGTACAATGTATTTGGAACTAAGCCCAAACAACCTTCCACAGAGAAAATCAAAAAATTATATGTACGAAACTAACATTTTTTAGTTAATCAGGATATAATTTAAAATAGTAGTTAATGCTGCTTTTGGGATAATCCAACTATTTATTCTATAAATTAAATATCTACTAATTCTCATCGAAGTGATTTTTATGATAGGGATTTTAATTATCGAAAACTATAGGGGTATCTAGAATAAAATGATGATAGAAGGAACTCAAATTTCTCTGTTTTTTAACATTATTAATTTTCTGAATTTATTATTATTCGTAATTTTCTATCGAATATTTAATAATTTTTTTAAAGACATATTATTGTAAGTGCAGTTTCACATTTATGCGGTCGAGTTAATCTTTAAAAAAAGTAAGATCTAGCCTTGTGAGTATTAAAGGTCAAGTTGACTGTAGATATAAGGGACAGCGCGTACGCAGTCCCAGCTACCAAAAATTGTGCGTCCGAGGTATCCACATTAGGGATACTCGCAGGGGTCAACTCACTCTATGTGCAATGAGCAAGTCTCGCCCTGGAGGAACCGCCTAAATGATCACGGTTAACCTCCACGCCAGGTAAGTATGCTTAAAATTGACAAATGTTGTCTATAAAAGCAACATTTTATGAAATTTAGTTATGTTGTAGCAATTTCTTATAATTTTTTATATTACTTAAAATTACAAACATATGTTTATTTATTAAGTTGTAGAAATATTAATAATCTTTTAAAGTTATTAAATATCTATATTTTATTAAAATTTTTATTCTTGAAACTTAAATATGAATTATGAGCCTAATGTAAAATAAGTCATTTATTCAACGCCATCTATGTGCAATCACTATATTAATGGACACTTAAAAATTAAATAAATAAATAAAAAAAAGGAAAATACCCATGACCTAGGGAAGAAAAATTGTCTTTAGCTTCATATTATTAAATAATAATATTACAAAAATTAGAAATTGTAACAAACTGCAGAATAACAAGAACTATGTTTTATTAATTTGACGTGGGTAATAGTATTAAAAAAGATAAAATTAAATTTATAACTATTTTATGGATAATTTCAATAAGTTTCAGTAATACTTTTAAAGTTCGAATTTAAAATATTTCATTAATTAATTTATTAATTTATCATTTAGTTATTGAATAAATTAAAATAAAGTAAATTGAATAAATGTATACAATCTACACCAAAAGTCATGTCAGAACACATTATATAAATGTATTTAAAACAATAATTATAACATTAGTTTACATATTTGTAGAATGCATAAACAATGTTTTATTAAAAGATTACAGTTATTTACCCCTTTCACGAAAATCTAAATAAAAATTGTTTCAATTCAAAGAAGGTACACTTTTAACTAATTGACCTTAAAAAAAAATTATTATTAGTTTAGCAGTATCTAATTTATAACCAATCAATTTTATCAATTTTTCTCGAAATATATTTTATTAAAATCTAAACTCTATTAATAGTAACTATTATGTATTTTTTTTTTTAAAATCTTTCTTCAAATATGTAAAATAATTATAACATCAAATTTATACTTACATAAGAAATATGAAGGTGTCTTTATGAAATCCTCAATATTTATTTGATGATGACAAACAATAAAACATTTAATAATTAAATGAGAAAAAATACTTCAATTTGTTCTTTAAATGAACTTAAATAATTATAAATCTATAGAATTTATAATGATTATAGTTAAATCGAAATATAGTTAATAAAATTTAAATATGTATATGTATATATATATATGTGTGTATTGCTGATAATAATAATTAAATAAAACAATAGTCATACTTTTGCACGTATTAAATATTTTGCTCACGAATGAATAGTCATATTGTATACATATATATATATATATATATATATATATAAATAAAATAAACGTCAAGATGTACTAAAACAATACTAACCCATTCAGCCTTTCAATAAAAATAATATGCATTTCAGAACTACAGTTAAAAAAAAAAACATGTTCAAAAATATAATTCTGATAACAGTTAATAAACTTCTACTATCAAAACACTCATAATGAAATATATATATAAGGCAATTTAGATTTTAAGATTAAATGAATTTAATAATAAGAATATGCTTTTATTAATTGAAGTACATATATGAAATTTTTATTTTTGTTTGATATCCTAAATAATAAATCCTTATTTTTCTTAAAAAAAAATATGTATTTATCATTCAATTACAATATTATCTATAAAACATCCCTTGTTGTATACTTATCCAACATGTCGAAATATTTTATAAAAATAAGCAATATTTAGTGTTTATGTTTTTGGAGTACGCTAGTGTTTTTACTGTTAAAATAATGATACATCTTAATTATAAAAAACTTAGTTACTTTGTCATAATATATCTACATTACAATTATAATTGAAACCTATTATAATTGAAAAAAAATCTAAAAAAACCCAACCCAGTTTTTTTAATAATTAAATGAAACAAAAATAAATTATTTGAAATTAAGACTATTAAAAATTGCATCACAAATTTCTTACTTAGATTATTTTTAGATAACATTTATTTTGTCTTTAAAAAAAATATCTTAGCCTATTTTTCTTAATTTGGTAAGATAATAATTCCACATTTTTTGTTTCGTCAAAAATATTAAATATGTTAACTCTACAATTTTTTTTAATTAATTAGCTTTATTTAATTTTCATTAAATTTCACACTATAAGAGATTTTTTAAATAACAATTGTAAAAAATAAGCAAAACAATAAAATATTCTGGTATACAATAATGATTTTTTTATTATTATTTAAAATATGATTAACTTTTTGAAACATCTAAAAAATAACAGTAATAAAATCGTTTTGTCACTTATACATTATGATAGCAAAATAAAGTTTATAATATTTCATCAAGTTAAAAATAAGAGAATTAAACAATTTTTTTTTTTCTATCAGTTAATGTACTTGAAACATACATAAGTATGATATTAATTATCAATATATAAGCTATTAAAAAGAACAGTCCTAATTAATTTATATTTATACACAATGCACACTCTTTTTATAAAATCAAATCTTAAAAAATTGGATTTATCATGAATACGACTTCAAAAAAAAAATTTTTTTTATAAATAAATAACTCAATCTGCTTTTGAATGGCTACATATTGAGTTTTACATATATCAATTTTATTGAACACTACTTCTCTTTTAGGCCATTACGGTAACAAGTATATGTAAAAAATTTCATATTTTGAGATATGATGTGTTCTAAGTGAGCAATATATATACAGGGTGATTTTTTTATCATAACCCACTCAATTACTCGCAGAATAATAATAATTTAAACCTTTTATTGTTTTATTATCTTTAGTTACACATTATTCTTGAATTTTTAACTATGTAATACTTTTTAAGTTCATCCCTTATGCCTTAGAAGGGGGTCAACTTTGATTTTTTAAATGGTAACACATATTTTTAATTTAATAAAATGTTTGAGTTTTTAATTTAATGGTAAATGGCATTTGAATTTTTAATATAACTTTATTAGCTTATTAGATATAAACATTTAAAGTTTCAAAATTTTGAGTTAATATACATGTATAATACACATGGGATTGTAAATACAGGTAGTTAATTGGATTTTTATGACATTGCTGTCTCAGTCACGGATTGTTTATTATCAATTATGATTATCAATAGATATACTTTCTGTATTGTCAGTTAGTGTATTTATAAACTCATAACAATGTGCCTTACTATCATTGATAATAACAATGCTGTGTACCTGCTAATATCGATGTCATAAAAAATCAATTAGCTACCTGTATTTGTAATCCCTTGTGTATTATACCTGTATATTAATTCAAAAATTTGAAACTTTAAATGATTATATCTAATAAACGAATTAAGTTATATTAAAAATTCAAATGCCATTTACTATTAAATTAAAAACTCAAACATTTTATTAAATTAAAAATATGTGTTACCATTTAAAAAAACAAAGTTGACTCCCTTCCAAGGCATAAGGGCTGAACTTAAAAAGTATTACATAGTCAAAAATTCAAGAATAATGTGTAACTAAAGATCATAAAAAAAAAAAATGTTTAAATTATTATTATTCTGCAAGTAATTGAGTGGGTTATGATAAAAAAATCACCCTGTATATATAAACAATTTTTATATACAACTATAAAAAAAATATATACAAAATTATAACTAATGTTTATTATAATATACGAATCGTCTATATTTCAATTTAACTATTATCTTTTTCATTCTTGGAGTAAATCAAAAGAAATAACAACAAATTTTGTTATTTTTATAACATGATACCTAGTTATATTTAATCTAAAATAGTAGTTCAAAATTAATGTTTCAACTACTTAAATACAGTAAAACACAAAATAAAGAACACTTCATAAGAAATACAATTTTTATTTTTTAAATTAATCACACAATTCTTTAGGTAGAAATTTTTTTATTATTTATAAAAATGGAAATCAAAATATTTGATTTAAAAATACATATTTACTAATTAATTAAAATTTTATTTAATGTTTAAATAACTTCAATAGTTTCAAGTGGAAGCCATTTAGAACTTTCTAATGCATCCCAAAGATTATAGTCTTGAGAAATTAATTCTTTATTTAATGCATCTATATCAATTGTTTTTTTATAATCTGTAAAAATATATTATTTGTAAGTTTTAAATTTAAAAGAGATTTTATGCTTCAATAAAAACAAAACCTACATACCAACAAGGGTCAGATTGCTATTAGTTTTGATGTTAGATGATTCACTAATTGATTCAGGCTTAGGAACACATTTTTGACCTTGAGTTTGATTCCACATTGAATATCGATGCCAATAATTCGTTTCAAAATATTGCCCATAATCTTGAGTCGACTTATAGCCCTGAGAATCATTTGAAGCTCTAGAAAAATAATAATAAATATAGTTTAGCTTATACTAATTTTAATTTCTTCTTCAATATAAAAATTATTATAAAAATATGAAAAAAATTATTGAAATTAATAAAATATTAATTTCATAAATATAGTTCCAAAGAATTAAAATGTATTTCATAATGTGATTAAGGTAAAATTATAATTTTAATTAAAATTCTGTAGTCATTAACTAACAAATTTACTATATTAGTTTGTAATAAACAACTAACTACATAAAAGTATTTAAGTAGGTACTATACATGGTTGTTGGTAATTTTATACGTGTTTAGACATATGTTATGTATATAATATTTTTTGTTAGGTTATGTATAAACCTAAAAAATAATGATATAATAAATATATAATATTTTTTTATAGTTCATTTTGTAGTTTTGTTTTTTTTGTAAATTTAATAGATTTTCTTATGGTTTGCTTATCTGGTCTTGTTAATAGACTTTCAAATATTGTTTACTAGAGTCTTTTTCACCCTCACTTTCTATGAAATGAATAAATAAAACTAGTTATAGTATTAATTTAAATTCACGTAAATTAAACATAACAAATGTTGTATACAATAGTAAAAGTGATATTCTGTATTTTATACAAACTTAATTTATATCTACAACTAGTTTTATTTAATTAATTAAAAAGTATTCCAGTCTCCCCCTAAATTAATGATAAATTAACCTTAATTAATATATATTGATTAGGAATTTAACTATGGGAGGCATGAAGGAATCAATCCATAGAGCAAAAAAATTTTCTGTGATATTCTTATTACAAACCACTTAATTAATAAAAAATGAAAATAATATTGATAATTTTTTTATTGGTTTCTTTTAAATATCTGTTTTTATTAATTTATCAATTATTAAAAGAATTATAAAGTATTGAACATGTTTATCTATTATATCTTATAAGGGTGTCAACTTTTAGCTATTAATTACTTTTTAGTATTATTCCTTATAACTTATAGGGGTACCAACTAAATTTTCTTAAATTGTAACATCCCTAATTAACTATCTTATTTAATAGATAATAATATAATTAAGAAAATGACTGATCCATAACAACTTTTGGACCAGTATTTCAGAAGATAATGATATATTTATATCTTAAAGAAAGAAAGAGTATGTCTATGAAAATTTTAATTTTAAAAATAGCAGCACCTTCTCTTCATTTTCAGTTATTAGTTTAAAATGTTAATAACTTCCGAAATACTGGTCCAAAAGTTGTTATCAAGCAATAATTTCTTGAAAAGAATTATTCTTTTCTTTATTAGACCATTATCTATTAAATAAGATTTAATTAATAAGAGTTAATTAAAGGTATTGCACATTTGAGAAATTGAAGTTGATACCCTTATAAGATATAAAGGATGAAGACAAATTGAATGGGTAGCATCAACAGAATCACCTTGTACATATATTAAGTATCTTACACAACAATATGTCTCTCAGACTTCGGAATAACACTGCTGACTTTTATGGGCTTTGATCCTAATCCAGGAAATCCATTCATGTTATTAAGACAATGTTTTTGTTCTTCTTCACTTCCAAAGCGAATAAATCCATATCCTTTGCTATAACCAGCACTATCCAATACCACTACAATTTTTTTTTTTTCAAAAATCTATTAAATAATCAATTAAAAATTTTAACATTTTTAAAATATATACATTACCTTTGGCAGTACGTATTGACTGATATCTGCACGCAAATGTTTTATATAATTGATAATCGTCTACATCAGAACTCAGCTCACCTAACCATACAGAAAAATCTCGATCACTAGCTGCAGTCTTTCCTGGATTTCCAGCATGATTAAGTTTAAACCTTACAGGCTAAAAACAAAGCTTTATTATTAATGTAATTTGAATTATATATACATATTGATTGGTTAATCATAAAACAATCAATTACTCTCAAATTAATTACAATTATGGAAAAAAAATGTTTTGTGTCTTTAAATTATGTATATTTTTGGTTTTTCAGCTACAAATAACTTTTTAGAATTATCCCTTATAAATTATAAGGGTGTCAACTTAATTATTTCAAATGGCAACATACATCATTTACTAGCTTATTTAATAGAAAATGATGTTATAAAGAATATGACTATTCAATAATAACTTTTGAATCAGTATTTTGAAAGTTATTCTCATTTTTATAAATAAGTAAGAGGAAGAATATAGTCAGAAAATGTTAAATTATAAAAATAATATCTACAAAATTTAAGCTTTGATTAACATGATTAACAATATGCACTCTAAGCTCAAATTTTAGAAAAAATTTGTAGTTTTTTTGATTTTAGTTTTGATTTTTCTAAAAGCCATAGGAACTATTTTTAAAGAATTTGTAATTTATAAACAAAATTAATTGATTACATTAAATAATATTTTGTAAAAACGAAAAAAAACAAACTGAAACCAATATTTTGTAAAAATTACCCATTTAGTTTTTGACAATTATCTTTTTAAATATTAAAAATAAAAAGAATTGTTTAAAACTAAATTGATTGTAACTTTTTTTTTCACAAAAAGTATAAATCTATAGTTTTTAGTTAAACCAAGTTTCCCTTAAAATTAAAAAAGATAATTAAAAATCAGATTATTTAAAAAAAAATATTTCATAAGTATTGAAAATGACATACGACTAGATTATTTATAATATAATAAAATTTCTTTTTTTGCTAAATAATAATAATGAACATAGTACTTCAATTTAAAATGTATTAAATTAATTTATTAAGAGCTTTCAAACAATTTTAAATTCAACATTTTTTATAATATATTCATCCTTTTCAGAGGATCAACTTTAATGCTTATCAAAACTTTACTTTACAAAAAACATTTGCCAAATTAGGTTGGAATATAGACTTTTTAAATTTTATAATTTTAAAATATGTACAATTATTTCATCTATACTTATAATTTTAATAAGATTAATTTAAGTGTTAAATATACAACATTTTTAAGGGTAATTTTACAATTTTTAAATATGCCAACTATTAGCTAAAAATAAAAACATATAAATTATTAAATAAATTATAAACTAATAAAACTTACTGGATTAGTGCCAGGAATATATTTCCCATTTAGTTTATGCATTACAGATACAGGATCATAAAAGTCAACAAAAGCATATCCTGCAGTCTCGCCAGTATTTTTGTTACGCATTAATTTTACATTTTTAGGATATTCACCCATTTTTTGAAAAGCTGCTGTAATAAAACTTTCAGTCATATAAGGTTCTAACTATAAAAAAAAATTACACATTTAACAAAATATAATTAATAATAAGTTTGCAATCACATACACTTCCCATCCACAAACTAGAGACATTTTGATTGGGAGAAGAAACTTGTGGCTGTTGAACAGGTACATTTTGGCTGATATATGTTGTTCCAGTTTGAGTTGGTGGAGGTGTGTTATAGCTATTCGTAGGTTGTTGATTATAATTGTAAACTGGATAATAATTTTGGGAATACTGTTGATATTGTTGATTGTATTGAGAATATTGTTGTGGATACTGATTAGGGTACATTTTGAAAAATTAAGCAAAAAAAACTTCAAATATAAGTTGTCAAAACATAAATACACAATCAAAAAAGAAAAAGTAATTTCTTAATAAATCAAATTTTTTTAGTAAAAGTAATGCACTTTTAAAAATCAATTCTTATTTCTAAATACCATGGGATATTAAAAATGAATTTAGAACATATTTCACACCATCAAATGATAACAAACAGTATCACTTATCACTCAGTTATAAGGCAAACATTAAGCTAGTATCTCATTTACGTTATTTAAGACATGATTTTTACTAAAAAAATTTGTGCATAGCAATAAGTTATTTTTGTGTTTGTAATTTACAATTTTTTCACTTGTTTATTTTTACTTATTTGACAACTTAAATATGAGTGGCTCATTAGATGTAGGAAATGCTACAACATCGTTATGGCTTGTCAAAGTACCTAAATATGTTGCTGATAAATGGGATAATGCGCCTAGCAGCTTAGAAGTTGGTAAAATAAAAGTACAAAAACACCCAGGCAAAAGACCAGATATATCACTTAATCTATCAGAAGCTGTATTATGTTTGGAGAATGACAAAAACAGTGAACCTATACCAAAATCATTTAAATTAGACGTATCTCACTTTAGTGGTCAAACTATGGGTGTCCTATCTGAGTATAGTATTCCTTACAACCCTGATGCAATAGTTCAAGAAACAGATAAAATTTGTGTTGAGGGTAAAATAAGTCAAAAATTAGAGTGTCGACCCATTGGTGATCAAGTAACATATTTTCTTCATTATTTTTTAATGAAATATTCAATAAATTACATTTTTATTTTATAATTAACTTTAAGGTTTATATGGATTTAAAGAAAACGGCGATAAAAAAAGCACACATCCCCACAAGACAAGTACAAAAATTAGATAAAGTGGTTCAAAACTTTAAGCCTATATCTGATCACAAACATAATATTGAGTATAATGAGAAAAAGAAATCTGAAGGCAAAAAAGCTCGTGATGATAAAGATGCTGTCATGGCAATGTTATTCAAAGCATTTGAAAAGCATCAGTACTATAATATTAAAGATTTAGTGACCCTAACTAAACAACCAGTAGTATATTTAAAAGAAATTTTAAAAGAAGTTTGTAACTATAATCTTAAACATCCCCACAAAAATATGTGGGAATTAAAACCTGAATATAGACATTATAAAGATCAAGATGCTGATATAGAAACTAATTAATACTTTATTTGCTGCTTCAAATTAGATAAAAAATAAGAAGGGGTTAGGACTAACATTGTTTTGTAAAAACCACTAAAATTTTAATATTTAATGATGAATAAAATTTTATATTATAAAAACATAAAAAATATCAGATAACATTTTTTGTAAAATTATTATTATTTTTTCTACACTAAGTGTAATAAATAAAATAAAAACATTATTCATTATTATTTTTTTAATTTAGTTTTGTTTATTTTTATTTAGAGTAATCAGTTAAATCATAAGTGAAATTCATTGATTTTACTTTGTGAATACTTTTATAGAATATAATGTAAATCAAAAAAGTAAAAATATTTAACATTATATTTTACATTAAATATTTTTAAATTAAATTCAATTATAAGTATTAAATAATATATACTATAAAGGATATTATAATTAGTATTGGGAAGGAATTCATTCTAAAAATAACGGATTTCTGGAATGAGTTCTTTTTGAAGGAACAAAGTTAAAAACTACTTTGAACCTTTAAAAATTATGGAACGAGAAATGTGAATAAATCCATATTTACAGGGAAAATAAAAAAATCTACAGTGCCTTTAAATTTTAGTTTTTCTAAAGTTTTTTTGTTTCTAGGTAATAAAAATTCTACTTTTATGTTGACTATTAATAATATTTTTTGCATTGAAATCCGATGACCCTAATTATATATTATTGTTATATTTCCATTATGTTGTCAACACTATAATTTTCATGTACTATGATATTAATAAACATATATTTTTAATAAAACAGGAACGAATTTCGTTAAAAAAATGTATTTTTCCATAACTGTTTATAATTTACTTGAAATTTAAGGTAGTTATTATTTATAAATGATTTTTCAGGTATGAAATATAATTAAATATTTTTTTTTTGTTCAAAATAAGGTAAAATTTATATTATACAAAATAAAAAAATAAAGAATTTTAGATGTCAACATGTGGTAGTACCATTTTAAGGTGCGATACTATTATCAAATCAATTTTTTTTTTTAGACAACCACTGAGTGCACAATCTTATTTCATTTAATCCTGAGATCATTTACAAAAGTAAATGATCTATTAAATCTATTGGATCTACAGATTAAATCTTTTGTAAATGGTCTAAGATTTAATCTGTGGTAACATCGATAGAACAATGAAAGCACCTTTGCCACGAACTAATAATGCTCCGACATTTACATACTTCGACATTTGACAAAGTAGTAATTGTTACGAACATCTGGTACTCCGACCATCTGATACCATAGGCTACCAAAATTACGATGGATTTTACTCCGACATTACATTTAAAAAACCCAGCACAGGGGGGTCGCGGCAAAGTGGTGACGTGGCATAGTTGGATCAAGTATAATGATATCTGACAGTGATTAAAATCACTATCAAAAAAAAAACGCTTCGATGCAAATCTTTAGATAGTGTTTAATTTTAAAAAATTGGTGGATTATTCCAAAAGCTTCATAAACTGCTAGTTCCTTATTAATATCTGAATGAAAAAAGGATTATTAAAAAATAGTATTATATTTTATTAATAATATATATTAATTAAAAAATTATATTGATCAATACACTTTTCAATAAGTTATAGCATTATAAAGTTAAAAATGTAAAAAATAAAATCGATAATTTTCATACAATAATAGCATTTGGTAGCCATTTTCACCTTGAAGATAAAATAAAGTCCGAAATTTTTTTTTTCCATGATAAAGTATATTACATTAGCTTTAATTTAAGATATATATAAAAGTGTCAGACTTTCCGGAACACTTTCAAAATTTAAGTTGAAAAAGTCAATTTTTTGTGAAAAAGTTGTCATTTTGAATCCCCCCCTGTAGGCAGGTAAAAAGTCAGATTTATAAAAAAAATATACCAAATGATAGGTAAAGACATCATGCATCTACAAAAAAAAGAATTATATTGATCCATACATCTTTCGAGAAGTTATAGCATTATAAAGTTAAAAATATAAAAAAGAATTTTTTTACAAAAATCGTATTTTTTTTATTAAGTTTAATGTCTGTTTTCACCATGAAGATAAAATAAAGTCCGAAATTTTTTTTTACCATTATAAAGTATATTACATTAGCTTTAATTTAAGATATATATAAAAGTGTCAGACCTTCCGGAACACTTTCAAAAGTTACGTTGAAAAAGTTCTACTTTCTATATGCATTTTTATGTTTTGAATCCCCCCTGTATTTAGGGAAATGGTCCGATTTAAAAAAACAGTATGTCGAATGAAAGATCTATATAAATACTACTTCTCATAAAAAAATTGTAATGATTCATACATTTTTCAAAAAGTTATAGCATAATAAAGTTAAAAATGGAAAATACAAAATCGAAAATTTTCACACAAAAATAGCATTCGGTAGCCATTTTCACCATGAAGATAAGATAAAGTCCGAAATTTTTTTTTTTCATGATAAAGCATATTACATTAGCTTTAATTTAAGATATATATAAAAGTGTCAGACCTTCCGGAACATTTTCAAAATTTAAGTTAAAAAAATTAATTTTTTGTGAAAAAGTTGTCATTTTAAATCCCCCCTTGTGGGCAGGTTAAGGGTTAAATTTATGAAAAAAATATACCAAATGAAAGGTAATGATATTATGCATCTATATAAAAAAGAATTATATTGATATGTTCATTTTTGAAAAAGTTATGGCACTTTTAAGTAAAAAAAATTGAAAAAATTTCGAAAATTAGCGATTTTTAAATTTGTAATTTTTTTGGAGGTTTCCCCCATTTACGGGGAACGAGGGAATTTTTTTCAATTTTTAAGGGTAATGTCTTCGACTAGATACGATTTGTGATCTTTTGACGTATCATTGAAAGAAATCGGTTCGGTGAGAGCTGAGAAAAAGTGGTAACAGACACAAAAAAAAAAAAAACACATCTTAGTAAAACCAATACCTTCTCAGCTTCGCATCGAAGCTAAAAATGAGACAGTAAAAACTCCGATATTATCGATAGTTTGATTGTGCATTGAAAGTTATATTATATTTCGATTGTATTATTAGTAATAGGGCGCTTCGATCGTATATATTGCAACGTAGGCTCATGTGGCTATAGAAACACTACATTATTAAATTAAATATATTATTATTAATAATATTGTAAAATTTAAATTTAAATGTTCTATTCAATTACCCTTATTTGCTACTATAGTTATTATACAATAATATACATTTTGCTTATTATTTTCTGGTACAATTTCTCACATTTGACAAATGTTATTAATACTCGAATGATAATAGTCATTCATTAAGTAACATAAAATTAATAGTGTTTAATACAAATGTACATTTTTGAAAAAGTTTTCTCTATTGTTAGAATATATATTTATCTTTGAGAATTTTATTTTTTAATTATCCAATAATTACAAAATATTTTCATCAAATCAAAAAACTGTTAGTTAACTGTTTTTTCAGTCGATCCACAAAATTTTATCTAACAGTAACTTANGTTAACTGTTTTTTCAGTTGTTCGACAAAATTTTATCTAACCGTAAATTATTTTTTAACATCTAAGAGATCCATTTGAAAACTAATTTTTCTATAACAAATATGTGCTGTAAAAATTGTCTTGTGCAATTTTATTAGTGATTAATTCCTAAGTGTGTAATATTAAAAAATAATAACTAATATAACACATAAAATTGTTTGTACAATATAAAATCATTCTTGGGGATGTCTGGATTTTTTCCTGTGCTGCATTAGGATATCTAAGTATAAAATAACACAGTATATCCAACTTCAATGCAGTAATTGTTGAACACATTTTTTTTAGTCTTATTACTTTCTGGAAGTTTCTTCCAATAGGTTTTTATAGACTCAGAAGAGTATGATTAATTTTTCTTTCAGCAATTTTAATTGAAAATTAATTACTAAAATTATTTTTAACTTATATTAAAAAAAATTAAAATAGTATTAAACTGTGTAAGTTTTGCTACAAGTCTAATATGAGTTATGCTAAGAATTAGTAAGTTTTGGTTATATATAAGTAGAATTAATTTTTTCTTATTTAAAAATTCTGTGTGTCNGACTCAGTAGATTATGATTAATTTTTCTTTCAGCAATTTTAATTGAAAATTAATTACTAAAATTATTTTTAACTTATATTAAAAAAAATTAAAATAGTATTAAACTGTGTAAGTTTAATACTAAGTCTAATATGAGTTATGCTAAGAATTAGTAAGTTTTGGTTATATATAAGTAGAATTAATTTTTTCTTATTTAAAAATTCTGTGTGTCATCTAAAATTAAAAATATATTAACTCATCGTTAAACAATTTTAATTTTGTGACATGAGTTTTATAATCAATGTTAAATTATAAGTAAAACCATTATAATCTCCAGTGGTGCTCAAAAAAAAGTTAAAAATATTAAGGAGNAGGTGCTCAAAGAAAAGTTAAAAATATTAAGGAATAAAAAATTATTTATTTAAAGTTCTTTTTCTTTAAAATCTTATATACATTTATTGAAATCAGTTTGATATTTCCTTGAAAAAAATATCTGAATAGCCTTTCCTTTTTTTAATAATAATTAAATTTGTTGGACAATTTTCTCAGTGGTCCAG